TGCCCCGCCCCCCAAGCTCCCCCCGAAAATCTGAGTTCGCAATAATGCTGGAATCCCGCTGCAAGGCCTTAATAGTGCATGATTATTGCGTGATTGAGGCCTTATTAGGTGTCAACAAACTTTTATTCAGCCGGTACTGCGGCCTACTAGAGCAATATAAAGGATTTGAGATTGAACAAACATGACCTTCGTCTGGGTTTTACAGTCAATCATTCTAATTGCAGTGCGGGAAGGAATTCCTTAACAAGGCCTCACAAAGGAGGCTGCAATCCTTGTTCTGGCAACAACAAGGCTTCTGGGCATCAGTCGAAGAGGTTCCCACCCAACAACACATTGTCTAGACAAGGGTTTTGGTTCAGCAACATGTCTGGACGCTGTGTTGAGTATGAACTTGTTTCTTCATCCTTTCCCATGCGCTGACAAGCGGTTTGTTTCTGTTTCTGAAACCACACTCATGGCGCTAGTGCACAAAGATGTTTATGATTTGGATTCTGAGAAAGAGCCAGAACTTCAGGTGAGCTCGGGAGCGTTACTCTCTGGTGACTAGCACGGTGGGGAAGGCGAATCTACCCACATGCTTATCTATGACAGCAACCTTCAGTGCAAGCTGGTTGGCTCGGCGGCCGGCTTCTTTCTGAGGTCCAAAGGTGTCAAGAAAAACGAGAGGCCCTAAAGGGGGACCCAGATGAATCTAATCTGGATCCTGGAATTTGTTTTTGTTTGGGCGGGGGGGGGGGGGGAGGCATGGCATTCTATGAATCAATGAAAGTACTGTATGTTAGTTTTCCCAGATGAATACTCAGCTTCCCCTAATTCGTGGTTTGGCGATTCGGAGTCTAGGACGTGGTTGCCCATCGACCCTCTGCAAGAACCAGGGGTTCAAACCCAACCAATCCAAACCACCAAGTAGGCGGAAACTGAAATGTCCGTGGGTCAAAACCAATGGGATCCCATTTTGGGGTAGGTGCACAATGTTCACTGGGGGTACGGGCTGTTGACCTATGGCCAAATACCCCCAATCTCTCGGCTTACCTTCAGGTTACCCACCAGCACGGGCAGCTGCTGCCAAATCCTTGGGAGAGCTTGGCCGATTGCTCAGGATCTCCTTTCGCTTGAGTTGTTTGGGCTAAGTATTCTTGCTGGCTCAGGACCAGCCATCCGATTTCCTAGTTTGTTTTTAATGTGTTTTAGTTGGTTTAGTGCTAGTTTCCATTTTACCCACTAAAAGTTATTCACTTTTAGCAGGGATCTGAGGACAGCCCAGTATTTGTTATCGCGCTTGTAATGCCTTTTGCCAAACACATCATATCAGGCTTTACGCCCCAATGGCGCGCACCCGACCAATCGCCCCAGTTGTCTAGTGGCTTTTGCCGTGGCTGGGTACAGTGGGCATGGGTCAACAATAAACTATGAGGGGACTGCAGGGTTTCGTCCATGTTTCCATTTACCAGGGCAATTTATTTTCGGTAATGACCCACAACCAAATGCTGGTTGAGACTACCACCTGTTGTCCTACCCGGGTCAACAGATGGATTGTTGCAAGGCACTGATGTCTAAACAGGCGCGATTGTTGGGGATTCCACCTACCTGGGATTCTGTCAAAGGAAGGCAATAGAAATAACTCACTTCCTGAGTTCCTGGACCTTATGCTTTTTGGTATGACGATTTGAGTGGCAAACAAAAAGTTCAGCCTTTGTCTGGCAAATCCACTCAGGAAGGGAGATTATATAAGAAGGGCAGCGCAAAGGCGACAAGATATGTGACGAGGCCACTGTAGGTCCCATCGTTGTTGTCGTCATGTTGAATGGCGAGGGTTAAGCACTGGCGAGGGTTAGGCACTGGACACTGTAGGAACAAGTAGCGCTCATGCTCCTAGCTCGGAACGCTCAGATCAGAATGTTGCCCTTGCACATCAAGGTGCGAGCAACATCTAAAGACCCGATTTCGCAGAATTAAGAATGGTCCTCATGAGGAGCTTTCATCGTAACGCCATTTGCCCCACTGGCCCACGCGAATTGCATGCCCTCGATGTTGCCATGTTACAAACTGCCAATATGACACATCCAGGGGGTTTGCAGCCTGCTCCCCTCTTACATCTATGAATGAAGGAATCCGCTTTTTGTGTTATTGTTTCCCAACTTCGCCTATGGCCCTCAAAAAGCAGGAACCTGTACCAATTTAATGCTTGGTCGGCTGCCACAGCAAATTAATTGTTTGTGCCTGGCTGCAGCCTGCCAACCACGGAATGCTTGGTATTTAAGAGGCGCTTGGAATTTCTTTTAGCGCTTGAATCCTCACTGGATATCCTCTGGCACGCAATCCGGGAGAATGTCAATTGCGTGTGTCTTGTTTTAGGGGACCCCCCAAAAAGTGGGGTTCCTTTTGATTTCTCTTTAAAACCATCCAAACATGGGTACCAACTCCACAAAAGACAAGGCACCCGTTTGAGTTGCGCGCGGAAGCGTGGCTGGCTGGGCCTGTTATGCGACTCCTAGTTTAACGTCCAGATGTTCTGATGGCGCAGTTCCTCAAAGGCATTTAGCTGTATTTGTTGGGGTTCGACGCTGCTGGACAAAGGTCCCATTCCCTTTTCCACCCACTGGCCAGTGACTTGAAACCAATTTTAGGGAAGCCACCAAACCAGAAGGGAGCTGTCTTTTTGAGGGCACCGTTCTTGATTGAGGAAAAGGGACCCCCCCAGAAAAAAGAGAAACAGCTCAGGCGATATCCCCAACAGCATGCGGTGCTCTTTTTAGTGCTCGCACCACCCCGCAGCCCTCGTGGAACCCTGGTGGAACCTTACCTCAGGGCCACCCCGGACCACCGCGGAGCCTATCTGGAGCCTATCGACCCCAAAGCTGTCAGCTGTTGGGGAAAAAGGATCAGATCCCAAAGTTTGAGACACGTGTATTTGAATAAGCTCAGGTGGTGTCCCCAACAGCATGCGGCGCTCGTTTTAGTGCTCGCACCACCCCGCAGCCCTCGCAGAACCTCGTGGAACCCTCGCAGAACCTCGTGGAACCCTGGTGGAACCCTGGTGGAACCCTCGTGGAACCCTTCCCTCAGGGCCGCCCCGGACCACCCCGGAGCGTATCTGGGCTGAGACCCCAAAGCTTTCAGCTGTTGGGGAAAAACACCTTTGATTTCTCCTGGGCTTGCATGTTAACCGATCCCCATGTTTGGGATTCAATCCCACAAGACAACCCCATTTGGAGGTGGTTCCTTTTTATGGTTGGAACCCCAAAATGGCGCATCCAAAACACGGGGTCCCGAGCCGCAACACAAGACACCTGGAAGGTGCAGAAGCTGTCCTCCAAGCGGCCTCCGACCTGGCGAGGTCTTTGGATGATAACGATCTGGACGGGACGTCGCTTCGTGGGCTTTTTTGACAGAAAGCTGCTTTTCAGAGTTGGGGAATGTGAACCCTTCCGTAGGGTGGGGGCCCCTCCCAAAGTGATGATTCCCCACTAAACCCAGAAGCACACCCCTATTAATAAACTGCTGATTAATCCAGGGTCAACATTATGACTTTTTGCAGGAGGCATGATTGAGTGCTTCTGGGGGTTTGTCAAGCAAGCAACACAAGGGTTGTTTCTGCTTTGTTCACCCTGGGTGTGTGTGCGTGTATGATTTTGATAATGACGTTGGGCCTATCGTACCCCGAGCTTCCCATGATAAATGTTCCTTTCAAAATATGTCCGGGGTACAGTTGGAGGGTTCTTGGATGTTTGGCCCAGTTCGTTTGTTCACATTGTTTTCGCCCACACCCCAGGTGACCAAGTCACCAAGCCACCCATGAAGATCTGCAGACTCTGAACAGAACCAAAGATCGCCTGATCCCGGTCCAATTGCATGCATCCTTCTATTTGGGTGGGTGGCTTTCGATTTTTCAAATTCACAAAAGAGAGGTGTTTGGTCGTTGTGTGAGGCTCCATCGTTTGCACCTTTCCACTACTCAGAACTCACGTCAACAAGCCATGTGCCGAGCCTAATTGAACCAACGAGCCTGAGATCAACACTATAATAGAAGCGAGTGCCCTGTGTTCCCCTGCGCGACTTGAGCGCGGACTGCCCGACGTCCCAACTGCCACCAAATCCAAGTGAGGCAGATGATGCTGGGGATGCGGCCAACCGGGGTTCATAAAACAAATGGTAAAACAAAAAAAGCAAACCCACTGAGCAACGGAGGTGTGGTGTCTTTGTTGTGGAAAAAATAGAGAGTCCCAGAGCATGTCCCGAGAAGGCCTGAAACTGCCCAAGAGACGCCCGGCAACCAATGGAGTTCGGCCGCGCCGGTCTTGTCATGTTTTGGTTGGGTTGGTTTCATTTATCAAACCCGCCCTAGTTGGCTCAGTTTTTCTAAGGTCAGGTTGTTCACTTGCCAAGCATGGCCGGGCAGCATGGCTATTTCTGCAAAGACGACATCGGGCAGCATGTCTTTCATGAGACACTCCCAATCAACCTGAATTGATGAATTCTCGGTGAACATTAGGAAATATGGGTGTTCTGTTCTTTGTGGGAAGCTAAGGGAAGCCAAAAGGAAACTGTTTTACCCCCCATCTTGGGTGGCCATTCCCAATGTTGCATTCCCCCCCTGTTAACTCAAACCAGGCACCTAGATGTTCCTTTTCAAAAATGGGATGCTGACTCATGGCCCTTCCATTTGCCTTTAAGAAAAGACATGTGAATTTGTCCCCAGCCTTTCAGGAAACAAATGCCATCTATCACAGGCCATAGTGTGGATGGACGAAATTCTGCACCGCCAAAGAAACCCTGGAATGGTGATTTCGTGGTGCTTTTTGGATTTCGAAAACAGGCACGGTATCTTCGCATTTGTTCCATCGACGGAGACTCAGGGTCTCCCATGTTTCAGGTATCCCTTGGCTTGATAAGGTAGCACCTCTGGTGCCTGGGGATACTTGGGAAACCACGTAATTAGGGAACACCTGCAAACCAAATCAAGCCACCAGTTAGAGGGACGCTGAACTTCCATTGGTAGCATGCTGGTTGCCAACCGCCACATGGGTTCGTCCCAAAATAGGGGGGTACCCCCAAAATGATTAACTTGTTTCTTAGATTGGCTGCATTCTGTTTGCCAGGGCCATCTAGTCTACCAAAAAGGCCACCTGAGCCGCCCTCAAAACCCGGGCAGAAGTTTCAGGCATATAGTGGTCGCCTTTCTGGTTCCTTGCATGGTAAAATGGGTTCGTTCCATGTTTGTCCCCGGTGTTGATTGCTCATTCCCAGTTCCAGCAGGTCTCGGCTGAAGTGAACAGAGACGTCGCAGGAGGTGCGCGCAGCCGCCGCCAAGGCGCTGCAGCGCTTGGACATCACAGAGGCGCAGGGGTTCCGCTGACGGACCGGTGGAGACGGATGCGCATCCCCCTGCGGCTTTTGGCGAGTAAACCAACCACCAGTCATGTGAAAATTGCAAGGGAAGAAGCTGGAAACCGTTTCTGCAAACCAGTCCGGCAAACAACGGAAAGCGCCTGCCACGGCATGCGATGGCTTTACCTTGTTTTCCCTTGCTTTCCCTTGCCTTCCTTCGCTTGACCTTGCTTTTTCCCTTGCGTTGCCTTGCTTTCCCTTGCTTTCCCTTTCCGTTACTTTCCCATTTCCTTGCTTTCCCTTGCTGTCCCTTGCTTTCCTTTGCTTTGCCTTGCTTTGCCCGTGCTTTAGCTTGCTTTGCCTTGCTGTCCCTTGCTTTCCCTTGTTTTCGCTTGCTTTCCCTTGCTCTCCCTTGCTTTGCCCGTGCTTTTGCTTGCTTTGCCTTGCTGCCCCTTGCTTTACCTTGCTTTCCCTTGCTTCCCTTGCCTTGCTGTCCCTTGCTTTCCCTTGTTTTCCCTTGTTTTCCCTTGTGTTCCCTTGCTGTCCCTTCCTTTCCTTTGCTTTGCCTTTCTGTGCCCGTGCTTTTGCTTGCTTTGCCTTGCTGCCTTGCTGTCTCTTGCTTTCCCTTGCTTTGCCTTGCTTTGCCCGTGCTTTTGCTTGCTTTGCCTCGCTGTCCCTTCCTTTCCCTTGTGTTCCTTTGCTTTGCGTTGCTTTGCCCATGCTTTTGCTTTCTTTGCCCTGCTATCCCTTGCTTTCACTTGTTTTCCCTTTCACTTGCTTTCCCTTGCTTTCCCCAAAAAAAACTCCCATTTTTGGGAGTATTTTTCAGCTGACCAGACCTGCAAATCTCCCGGAACGAGGTTACCCCCCCCCCCCACACCCCCCCCCCCCCCCCCACAACTTCCACACTAACTCCCAGCGCTTCAAGATTCAAGAAGCGCTCCCTCCTTTGCTTTCCTTTGCTTGTCCTTGCTTTCCTTTGCGTTGCCTTGCTTTCCATTGCTTTCCCTTTCCCTTGCTTTCCCCTGATTTCCCTTGCAGTCCCTTGCTTGCTGTCCCTTGCTTTCCTTTGCTTTGCCTTGCTTTGCCTGTGCTTTCGCTTGCTTTGCCTTGCTGTCCCTTGCTTTCCCTTGTGTTTCCCTTGCTTTCCCTTGCTTTTTTGTTGCTGTCCCTTGCTGTCCCTTGCTTTCCTTTGCTTTGACTTGTTTTGCCCGTGCTGTTGCTTGCTTTCCCTTGCTGTCCATTGCTGTCCCTTGCTTTGCCTTGCTTTCCCTTGCCTGGCTTGCTTTCCCCTACTTTCGCTTCCTTTGCCCTTGCTTTCCCTTGGTTTGCCTTGCTTTGCCTTGCTGTCCCTTGCTGTCCCTTGCCAGCTTGACCCAAGTCAGAGCAAACCAACAACTGCACAACCCTCCTGCACTGAATCACATACAAGCAACAACCCAAACCAGCGCCCGTACTTACACACCCCGTGTCGTCTCCCTGGGACCTGCAAACCAGCCTTGCGGTGGCAGAAAGTGCTCCAAAAAATACTCCCAAAAAATTGGAGTATTGTTCCTGCGACATCCCCAGCATCGCCGACCACCACAAAAACTTCCGAAACAAGCGACATCCCCTGCATCCCCGGCATCCCCTGCATCCCCGCCACCCCTTGTGCGCCCAAGTCCGGCGAGGCCGGAAGCAAAGTAAAATGATGTAAAACTGGCACGCTTTTTGGCCCGCGAGAGCCACAGACGAAAAGGTCAGACATGATAGGCAGCGTCGACAAAAAAGCGCGAAAAACACAGGGAAAAACACCAAAAACCAGCCTTGCGGTGGCAGAAAGTGCTCCAAAAAATACTCCATTTTTGGGAGTATTTTTCAGCTGACCAGACCTGCAAATCTCCCGGAACGAGGTTACCCCCCCCCCCCCACACCCCCCCCCCACAACTTCGTACACTAACTCCCAGCGCTTCAAGAAGCGCTTTCCGTCATCCCCCATAGTTTGTGGTTGGTCTACTTGCAATGTCTTGCAACATCGCCGGGGCACTCACCGGGAATGACCGGTTTTGGCCCTTGAAACACCTTTTTGCGTTGGCTGTATGTACCTGTACTTTGGTCGCATTTTGGAGAGGGGGTTCTCAATCCATATTGGGATAAACACCTTGCAACCTCCAATGCCAATGACTGCACTCGACTCGAGTCAACAATTAAGAACCAGCCAAGGTTTTGTTTGGAGGGGTCCGAGTTTCTTGGTTGAAACTCTCGAAACCGCCAATGTGCAGGGGTCCCACTTCCCTTTTTTGGTCCCTCCACAAGTGGCAGTTTCAATGAAGGCACAAGTGAATTGCAACTTTTGAAGGGGAAATCCAGTGACCCCTGATTTGTGTAACTTTGAGGATGTCCCTCTGGACTCTGCCCTTTTGTCCCATGGCCACTGGCGGTAGGCCGCTAGGCTATCAGTTTCTGGACAAAAGGTGGAGCCTTTGGACATCGTTCCCAGTGATTTGCCCGTTTACGACTAGCAGTAGTACCTTGGTTTCCTACTGAGCTGTGTGTGTGTGTGTTTGTGTGTCCGTGTGTGTCCGTGTGTGTCTGTGTGTGTCTTTGTGTGTTTGTGTGGTTGTCTTTTGAGGGTGCCCTTTTAGAGGTTGCATAGGCCCCAGGACGACCCAAAGGAAAACCACAGTTTTCGGGGTCCCCCGAATTTTGACACATCCCCATGCAATCACTGTGAGCACTTGACAGTGTTAGCGCTAGTCTATTGTAGTTTGGGGGAAGACATGTGGGGCGCCCACCACCCAAACTCCTCCGCAAAATTCAGGCGTTCAGACTCCAGACTACCCATCTTGTCCATGTCTTGGGGGAACAACGAATAGTGCCTGTGGGCATGAGGATTTATGTCCACCAGCTGTTGTCGAACGGTGTTTCCTTTGGGATTTCACGGCCGAATCAGACATAAGTGTTACACTATTTCCCAAAGAGGTGAATCTGACAAGTCGGTCCTTTCCTTTGAAGCGTGCTTAACAATGCCAAAGAGGGCATCCTCAAAAAAGACACATACCGACCTTGTTCAACATCCACTCAGTTAAGTACTTCACCGCATTTGTATGGTTGTCTTTGCTGTCAGCGGGTGAAGTTCGTGCCAGAGGAAATCGCACATGGATCGATCAATGTGTCACTTGGATCTCAAATGTCGTGGGGTTCTTATCGGACCGAATCACCTCTTCGACGGACCTGTTGGAATTCAAACGGCTCTTCCATCAAGGTTGACCTTTTGCTCACGAAAGAGCAACCCAGCTTAGTTAATTGAATCAGGTGTTGGTCGCAACAACTTTGGACCTGGCCCTTGGGCAGAGGCAGTTGCCCTTGAACTTTTGGACCGGGCCCTTGGGTAGAGTGCATTAAAGGCGGACCAGGTGCTTGAAATCAACTAAGGTTCTTGAATCGGGTTCCTCGAGTGGACCTCTGATTGCATGGGGCGTGTTTGGTAAAGCGTGTGCTTTCTCGTTGGGTTCTTTTTTTACCATGATTAAATGTGCTGATATTCCCACTAGAAACCTAAAGGGGGAGTTGTTTGCACAAACTTCTTTCTCAACTAGTTTCTTGGGAGGGGTCCTTTGTTTGGTTGACGAATTCTCATAAACCATCACCTAGAAGTACCACGGCTCAACACATGCTTGTGTATGAAAGGCCTTTGGTTTGAGAAGCCAAACTAAACAACACATTTGTTGGTTTGTCCGATTCAATGAGATGCTTATTTATTAGTGGCGGCATACTTATGATCGTCTAGGTGATTCTGATGTACGTATTACTATTGAGAACCCCTTGCTTCATTGTTGGTGCATGTTCTGGATGATTTATGAGTAACATGAACGTGACTTTACAGGCTCAATGTTTCAATGTGTTTTATGCGTTTCACTGTACTCCTTGACCCAGTTGAATCCCTTGCCAAATTGCCGACAAGGGTTTTATTGGGTTTTAGGTAATGCCCTTCAGAAGCCCTTCCTTCACATCATGACATCATTATACATGTATATATATATAATATACACGTTGTATGTGTGTATATATATATGCTTCTGTTTGCAGTGGAAATTGTTTGAATTCAATCCGAGCCATCCCCAAAAGGGGCACCGCACTTTCCACCCCCCGCCCCGCCCCCCCTCCCCCCCCGCCCCTCACCCCGAGGCGCTGCTCTCCTCGGAGCCGCGGCTCAGGCGCTGGGGCCTGGAGATGGCCACGGAGGGCAAAGAGCAGCGCCACGGCCAGGCGATCCCAGGGCTTCGCCTTTCGGTCCCACAGCGCTTCGGTGAGGTGGGGTGGTTGGAAGGGCTCAGGAATAAAAAGGGGGGGGAAGCTCATTGTCACTTGGTGTTTTTTTTTTTGGGGGGGGGGGCATTCTTTCGGGCCGGCTTGTTTGGGGTGAAGGTCAGACACTGGGGGCTGTTTATGGGGTCATTTCGGGCCGATTTTGGGGGCCTTTGGAATAGGTTTGTCGTCCATACCCCTTCGAGGTTTGTTGTTTGGAGTCATGATCTTGCTGGTTCAATAGGGCAGGGAATGAGAAAGGGAATGACCCAAGGAAAAACCATCCAACAGATGTGGTTTCCTTTAGGGAATCCCCGGTTCATTCCCAACACCCGGACGGTCATTCCCTAGTGAGCACCAGCCAGCTAGTTCGGCTGTTTTTTTAAAGTCAGAACCTGGGGGAGTGTTTGCCTTTATCACGGGGATGTGGCAAACTCATGGGCCAGTAGGCGAAGGTCAAAAAGAGCGAGTGGTGTTTTGCCTTTTGGCGGCCTTTGAAGGGAAATCAACGGGAGAACGGAAGCCATGTTGGGAGGTTCTTAAAAAACAGCACTCCCACATAGTGAACCCTGAAAAAAGATGGAACACGGAAAAACAAATCGGGATCGAGGGATCCCTGAAATAGGTGGTCTGAACCCCAGAAAAGTCAGGGGAATGCCTCGATGTTGGCTTGTCTCATAGTGCAACCCACTTGCGGCACATGCAGATTCAAAGGTTGGGGTCAAGGTTTAGCGACCTCATTTGCGGGTAGTTGAAGGTCGTTTTATGACCCTGGGAGGTTCTGAGCATGCTGTAGGCTCCGCAGATGCGTGTTTGTTGTGCCGGCCGTCGGGAGAGGAGGACACTTGATTGACACACAGCACTGTCTGCGGCCCAGTTTCCTGCTGGTCTCCCTGAAAAGCAATCCCCAAACATGGCAAACTCACCAGAATGTTGTTGGTTTCCTTGCCATTCTCAAGTTCGTTCCTGAAAAAGCTGGCTTCTCCTCCGTTCTCAATAAGAAAGACAAGCGAACACCTCAATTTGGGGTGCCATCAACAAGAAGAGTTGGTTTCCCTTCGTGTTCCCGGAAAAAATAGTAATAAGAACAATAAAGCACACACACACACAAATGGCACTCAGAGGGTCTCAGCTTCTCGCAGGCTTTGGCACAGCTGCTGGGGGACCAGCAGGATGCCAGGGGTCCTGGGCTGGCCTCTGGCTGGAAGTGGATCCCAGCCTCGGCCCTTCGATCCCTTTTCCCATTTTGGCTATGCGTCAAAACCCCGTACCCCCGGTGAACATCCCAATTTTCCACTAAAATCGACTAAAATGGGTGGTGCACCTACCCCAAAATGGTACCATTGGTGTTGACCCACGGCCATTTTGGCTTCGTATGGGGTGGTTCCCTTGGAAGCCTATACAGGTTAGGTAGCCAGATCCGTTTTCCGCTTGGTTTTTATAGCGGGTGGTTCGCCTTGGTTACCTGGAAAACCAGGTAAATGGATCCACTGGGTTTGGTAATTGGTTGGTTAATTTTAAGAGTTGGCGCACCTGAAGAGTGGGTTGGTGGAACAGGAATCACCGCCTAAAAGATGCTCTCCCTATTCATCACTGAGCATGCCATTGTCAAAACTCCTGTTCTCCTTTTCGCAGCTGTCAGCCGGCCAATATGTAGGGCAATTCGCATGGGCGCATGGAGTCAACACTGTGGGCCATGGTTCCCTGGGCAATCCTTCCATCTAAAATGCCCTTCGGGTCAGTCCACATTTGGTTTGTAACTTAATTTCATCATGTGCAGAACAGGCAGGCCTTGGCCTTTGACCCCTGAGAACACAGGACCTTTTGGCAGGGCGAAGGGTTACTCTTGACATGAATATCAAGAAGTGTCAGCTTTTTTTGTTTGACGGTTTGTCGTATTCGGCTGTTACACATGCGCAGGCACTCAAGGAGGCTTTCCAGGAGGGCATCCTTTGCTTGTTCTTGGGTTCCCTACTTGTTGTTTTGTGCGTGTGTGTCTGTGTTTTGTATGTTTGTGCGTGTTTGTTCTTCTCGATTGTTGTGCGACTAGTTGTATGGCACGCGATCTGAGCTAGCGGTTTCCACTCACCTCCAAGGTTGCTGTGAGGGGTAAATCAACAATTTGGGTACTTGTGTGGCCAATCCACGCAGAAAGTGAGAAGCCCATGAAGCGGCTACAGGAGTCCCCTATTTTAACCAACACTCATGTAACTTGGAGAAAACGGAAGTCCCTGCTTGCAAGGACCCAGGATTTTGAACATCATTGGGGTCATGTTCAGCAGATCGGAGGTTGTGGCCATGAAGCGAGCTGATCCCGGCAAAGCGGTTTCCTACCTTTCGTCCCACATAGACTTCTGTCCAGGTTCATCCCAGGGAATGGAGGCAAATTCGCCAAAAATACTGCATGGAGGGGGTTTGCAGTTTGGGGCAGGGCTTGGGGTTTCTTTCTTGTGGAGTTGGCATGCTTGTGTCCCAAAGTCTCAATCCGACCACTTGCCCTGTTTTGTCCCTTTCGGCAAGCAAAGGCCTGAGTTCCTATGGCCCCAACTTGTCAAGCAAGTTTGGAGGTCCGGCCCATCCAGGTGAGGAAACCTCCCTTTTTGTCATTTCGGCGTGGTTCAAAATTCAAGAGCTGGGGTCACTGGGGTCACACAGGCTTTAGTCTTTGGTTCCATTTACCAAGGTGCCATTTTGGTCTCCATTCTTTGAGCCACTGCCAGTTGAATCCAGCTGGATACGATTTGTCCGTTTCGGGCAGTTTCGAAGTCGGGGCTCCGAGGTCATTCGCTTCTGGGCGGCGCAGGCGCTGTGTGCCCTGGGCGCGCCGGCGTGCGACTTCCCGGAAGAGCTGAACCGGGCCGTGCAGGCGCAGAAGTTTCCAAGAGGTCGACCTCCAGCGTTGTATGGGGATGGGGGTCCCTATCCAGTGACCTTGTTCATTTGTGTATGGCAGATGTATGGGGACGGGGGGTTCCCTAAGTTGACCCACTGCCCTTGTTTTCCCCGACTTTTTTGGGGGGACGGGTTCCCCTTGAAAGTCGACCTACCAAAAAAGGATGCCCTGTTTTTTTTCACGTGGCCACTAGGCATCTGAGTTGACGTAGACCTCTAGTGTTGTATGGGGAGGTGGGTTCCCTATACCTCCAGTGACCTTTTCATTTTGGGGAAGATGTCTCCCTGTAAAGTTTTTTTTGTCACTGGTGGGGGCAGCTGGAGGTTAGGGGTTGGCCCCTTTTATTTCGGGTTTTCCAGTCGACCCCAAAGTTTCTCAGGTTTTGATTGTCAGGTTTCCTGGACTCTTTTCTTTTTTTCGGGGCGAATGGAGTTGATCCAAAACACCGAGGGAATCACTCGCTCATTTTCAACGAGTGGGACCTCGGCTGAAATTTGAGTGCAAGCCGCGACAGGCTTACCGTTCTATCCACAAAGGGACAGACGCCGCAAAATGCCCATGGAATCAGTGCCTGTGTCGGCTTGAGCAGTTTTTCCGTTTAGGTGTATGGTGACCACCGTGAGTTCACCTTCACTACAAAGAACATGCCGAGGGCCTTTGGCAACTGGGATCCACTCTCAACATCCGGATCCCAAAGCCTTGTCCTGCACCCCTTTCAGGGCCGTCGTTTGGTCCCAGTGATCAACCATGTCCCTGGTTTTGCAGGTAACTAAGGGCTTGCCAGGCTTTTAAAAGCCAAAAGGACAACGGATCTCTTCATTGTTCCTTGCAAGGTTTTGGGTGTTTTTAGTTTTCGGTTCTGCTCACGTTGAGTGCTGCAGAAAACTATGTTTTTGCAACCATCCAAGGGTTGCGAAGATCTGGTTCCTACTTTAAGCTGGCATCCACTAGGTAGTGACTTCCCCCCCTTTTCAAGGGACACTGGGGCAACTGGAAAAAAAACTCTCCCCTGTTAATTTCGCTCAGCCCAAAGCCTTGTTGACAGCTCCAATGCTGATTCAGAGCCAGAAGGTGAGCCATTGGATGGTAGTGACCTGGGCTGTAAAGATCCTGAATGACTTTTCGGAGAGGCGCCAAAAGTCACTACTCGGCTGCGAAGACTGGCTGGCTATGTCTCAGAATTCGACTCATTGAACGACGGGCAACAATTACCCTCAGGAGGATGCCAACGGCTCACGCACCAATCTAGATACAATTCTCGCAAATCGGGGGGCGGGGGGTAGCTCAACAAAATCCCATGTCGGTTGGGGTGGCACAATGAGTGTTCACTGTGGCTCATAGTCTATGTTCGAGGGAGACCACAAGGAGACCACAGCAATACCTCAAGCGCTTTACTGAACCCCTTTGTCTACCCAGCTCAAAGCCGTCAGGACAGCAATCCAGATGTATGGCCTCCGGTGCTGCGGACCATTGCCAGACACATGCCGCAGGCAACGCTTGTTACGAAACGTGCTAGCTGCTGGCTTTTCGCGTTTTTGGGGAAGACCGGTGTAGTGGCAAGCAATCAACTTGGACTTGTCGTTTGCCAATCCAGTCAGGTGAGTAGGAAAGTACATTGCAAGAGCCCAAACAGTTAGAGCGGAGAACCATGCGCGGAGATATACGGGCCCTTTCGTTTACCCATGTGTTTGATGAGTTCGCCAAAGCAGCCACGGGATGGACATGTGAATCCGAGGAGCGGACAACAAGTCACTGATAGTTAGTCTTTGGATTGGCTTGGTAGGACTGCCCAACGTCCCCTATTTGCCTACAAAGTACTCGTAGGTCCTTTTGGCCCTTTCGTGATTGTCAACCAGCGTCAACCCCACGCTTACATGTGATTCAACATCACAAACTGTTGGGAGGACCTGTTTGAACCAATGGTCTCATACAGCTTGGCGCCGCATATCACACTTCTCTCTTGGTCATATAGTCTTTGACAGAACCAGAAGGTTATGCGACATGCGTATGTTACATTATGTGTCCAACATGTTGGGTCAACGACCTATTTTTGCGCCGTGATTGAGAAGGTTGCATGTTTCCTGAAAATGACCTAAACATAATTTAGCTCAAGCTGGCCTACCCGGACGTTCACCCAACATGAGTTCTTTATTTTTTTGGGGGGGCAAAGGGGGGCAGGAGGGGAGGAACGTTTCACTTGCCTCAAGTATGCTCCTGTCCAGCCTTGTTCTTTTACGCAACGGCTTGTCGTTTTATTCGGAGGGCAAGGCGGCCCTTTCCTTTTTGCGCTTGGGAGGAGAATACTCTGTTTTCGGGTTCAAGAAGCACAAAGCATATGTTCTCTTAGTGCTTGGCACAAGCATTTCATGTCCACTGCCCCCAGTATTGGTGCCGAAAGAAACGTTTGGAAGTGTGGCCATGGTATTGGTGCTTGTGACGCTCTTGCAACTGGTACAACATCCTTGTGCACTATGAATCTCAAGCACTGTATCCTCTATTTGAATGCAACATTGTACTTTGGACCGTCTTCATGGAAGGCTTGTGCAGCATTTGTGAAGGCCCCGTAGGGTGAGCTGGGATCACGGGGACAAGCTAAGCAAGAAGGAAGAGCAGAAGCCACCGCCGCCGGCTAAACAAAAACACGCACAGTTGCTATATGGTATGTGAAGGGATTTCCTTTTCCATCCACTGGCTAGAATTATTGGGGCCAGTTGACAACCAAGGTGTCACACGTCTCGGAAGTTGAAGGTGCTGATTGTCTGTTCTCACCTATCCTTCTGTTCGCGTTCCTGCGTGTTTGCCCTGATTAGTGAGACTTAGATTAAGTCCTTGTGCAACTTTTGCTGTTGGCTGCATGGTTAGGTGGTTCGCCCTTGTGTTACTATGTTTCAAATGGGGGGAGGCTCTTTCGCGATGATATCTGCCTTTGAGGCCTTGGTTCCCTGGCCTTATGGGTGACTGAATGGCACGCCTTTTTTGTTGCACGCGACT